GCCGCCCCCCTCCAGGTGCCGCCCCAAGCACAAGCTTGGTGGGCTGGTGCCTGGAGCCGGCCCTGCATGTAGTCATCAGAAGCTTTACCCCCAACAAGTGAGGATCTTTTTGTTCATGTGCAGAGAGCTCACTACCAGTCACTAGCTTGGAGATAGTCCCACTGCCCAAAAATCCTGTATTTCCTCCTCCAAAGACAATGGGTTGGAAACCGGAAGACAGTTCCTGTAACAGCCACCAATGCCAGTAGATTGCATGGAGGCAATATTCTGTGGCTGCACAAGAGGGTGCAGAAGTCAGTGATGCAGGTGCAGGACAGCACAACTTGTTTGTACAGGAGCATGCAAATGCAGAGAACTGGAACCAGGTTGTGTCAATGTACGTGACAGTTCACCAGGACAGTACTATCAGATAAAAATATCTGTACCGTAATATGTGACCTAATAAGACTGATTCAATCTGCCACTGTATACCAAAGTTTCTTGAACTAGTACATTAAGGTGTGTGCTTAACTTGTGTGCATTAAAATGTTTACTTAAGGTTTAGTCAAGAAATATTTTCACTTGTTTCAAAAATGGGTGTTTTCAGAGTATGTGTTGCTCTTTCATGGTTGTATAACGTATTAAAATATTTCTAGTACATCTTGCAAATAAGAAACTGAAATCCAATGGCTTTATAAAAAGGTTGTTCATATTATTTGATCACTTTCATTACATCCTATTGCTCATTAAGAGCCAACTGAAGTATAGATTTTAGATTTATAGAATATCAGGGTTGGAAGGAACCTCAGGAGGTCATCTAGTCCAACCCCCTGCTCAAAGCAGGACCAATCACCAGGCAGATTTTTGCCCCAGATCCCTAAATGGCCCTCTCAAGGACTGAACTCACAACCCTGGGTTTAGCAGGCCAATGCTCAACCCACTGAGCTATCCCTCCCCCCTGTTATGTTAATCCTAGACAAAAAGGAAATAAAGATTCACACTCCAGCAATTTCCATGTTACTTTGTTTGTGAGGCCTTTATACACAACATACAGATTGGTAACAACCATATTTGGTTTCAGCACACCCTAATTATCTTAAAAAGACTTTTTACCAACTTTTAACAAAAAAAAATGCCTCTCACAGTTAACTCTTTTGAAAACCTGCCTAGTCTATTGCTCAAGAAACAGACGTTTTGTCTCTCAGGAAAGTAACATTCATTTGTATCTATGAATTATTTTTAAATAAAAAGTAAACAAAAATAGCAAAATAAAATATTTTTGTAATACATGTTTATAGTAAATTACTTAGAGGGGTTGAGTTCAAACTGATTCTTCACCTTAGTTCACATTGTCATTTTTTCCCCTTCAACTAACATTAATAAGAAAGCAGTAACCACCTTAATGTCTAATGCCCTGGCTTTTTTCAGCTTTAAGTCAAATTCTTAGCATTATTTAAACATAGGAGCTGCATCTAATATAATATTAAACTATTTCACTGAGTCAAAAATTTGAATGAATCCTTACTTATCTTAGAGATAAAACATGTTTGTAAAATCAAATGTGGCCTAACATTAAACAGAACAGATGATCTATGCTTCTCTTTTGGTTCTAAGGGCCATTTTTCAACTGGCCTCTAAAAACTGTTTGTAGTATAAGTGAGAAAATCCTTTTTCACATGTATGTTGATTTATTGCAAATGCAGGGAACCAGTTTTTCCATCTGATGCTATTTATACATGTGCAAATAGAAATTGTTCAGTGTGCAAGCAAAGTGCCTGCAATTATAATGGATGTATTTTTATTTCTTATGTTTAGTGCAGTGGTAATTAATTACTCCAATCATAGACAAGGTACTGTACAAACATAACAGAAAGACAATGAGTTTGCTGAGTGAATATCTGCCTTAGAAGGTGATGTTATTCCTTCAATCTTGAGTGTGTTGGGATGGGATGATACTCCATAACACATTGGTGTTATCAGGTTAATAGGATTGGCAGGTGTTGTATTTTAATTGACTCTTCTTTTGTTTTGCATGCAGGCATATTACAGGCAAGTTTCCTGACTACCCTAATGAAGAGGAGGGAGGTTCAACTGCGATTTTTTCTCAAAAAACCCCAGACCAGGTATTTTAATGCTTCTCCCCTTTCAAAAAGGGATAAAATGCTTAGAGGTTGAAACTAAGAGAAACAAAAGTGTCCACACTGAGATTTTATAGCAATGGGCTCCACTGGTCTAAAATGTTTTGGTTAAACTTGTTATTGGGATGGCAATGGCTATGTGCTCAAAGTACATAAGAACGGCCATACTGGGTCAGACCAAAGGTCCATCTAGCCCAGTATCCTGTCTACCGACAGTGGCCAGTGCCAGGTGCCCCAGAGGGAGTGAACAGAACAGATAATCAAGTGATCCATCCCCTGTCGCCTGTTCCCAGCTTCTGGCAAACAAAGGCTAGAGACGCCATCCCTGCCCATCCTGGCTAATAGCCGTTGATGGACCTATCCTCCATGAATGTATCTAGTTCTTTTTTGAACCCTGTTATAGTCTTGGCCTTCATAGCATCCTCTGGCAAAGAGTTCCACAGGTTGACTGTGCC